ACTCCCAGAATTCCCCAGCCAGCCATGCCAGCTGGGGAATTCTGGGAGTTGAAGTCTACACATCTTCAAGTCGCCAAGGTTGAGGAACCCTGCTTTATACCATTCTGGCTCTCAAAATCAAACTCTTCATTTCTTCTACAATTGTTGACTGACAGCATCTTTTCAGGGTGACACACAGGAATTTTCTAGTTCTATGTGGAGATACAAAGGATTGAGACTTTCTGCACGCAAATGGTATGCTCTATCCATGCCTTTGAAATGGAGGCCACACATGCTGGTTATAGTCTCATCATTTTTTCCTCTCTCCTGGTGGCATTTCTTTAACATAGGTGGGTTACAGTGGAGAGCTGCTCTTCTACATGTTCCACAGCTTCCCTTGTTCTAGCACCATTTTTCCAGGATTTGAAACAGGAGTCAGTTATATCCCCAGTGGGATGCCTTGTGAGAAAGACGTGCTGAAAATAGGCCCCAAGAATGTCATTCCACACACACTCACACGTGTCCACTTTGCCTTACAAAGAGCCCTAAAACAGCTCTATGTTTATTAGGCCATCTGATGATTTCCTGAGACCCAGTGAGAAGCCATGGTGTTTCTTAGGAAAAACCTATGGTAGAGAGCAGAACCTATCTTCATGGCTAGGTCCTTTAGCTCTTCATTTAGCTCTTCTGGAATGGTGGGTCAGACACTTTTGTCTTCCCCACCTATTTCATCTCAGCTTTCTCTCTACTGGCACACGGCAGCTAGTTTGCATATTTTTCAGTGCAGGAGCGGAGGGGTGAAAAATACCCTGTGTCTTTCAAGTTATGGACGTCCCTGTTCACACTGGGCTCATTCTTTGGCTGAGAGGCTGAACAAATACCAGTGAGGGTAGATTTCTCTCCCCTCCCGTCCCCTCTGTCTTGGGCACTTCCTCCTTCCCATTTTAAGTTTCCCAATTTTCTAGTCCTCCAAAATCCGAGATGCTGTTAAAGAAAGAAAAATGAGTTGACATACCTGCAGTTCTGGGTGGGGAAGGAGACACAGAGAAGCCAAGGATCTGTGCTTGAGCGATGCAAAACATCTGTTCTTCCCGCACCTTCTGCTGACAGATTTATAGAGTTGTATTAGTTCCATAATAAAGGTCCTACACCTGTGTTTTGGTTTTGGGGTAAACACGATTTCTCATTTGCCAATGGAAGGTTTATTTGCAATGACACTTTACCAGGGTAAAATCACAGCCTTCTAATGGTATAGCACCTGTTGGGAGGCAAGCTGGATTAGGACTGACAGATCTGGAATAGGGTGGGGCTCTGGAGCTTGAAGGCTGCCAAGAAAAGGCTTAAAACAGTTGTGCTCTTCTCTCAAGTTCCAGTGGTGCTCCTCCCATCTGAACATCCCATCTGTTCTTCACAGGCAGACTGAGTTGTAAAAAAGATACAGCCTTTGCCCAGAGAGGGGCCACATTCCTGCCATTTCTCTCTGGTGCTAAGTCCAGACCAAGCAGACCCCATTATAGGTTCACAGGATGTGTGAGCCACACATTAGTTCTAACATAACCTGCCTCGTAGTGGTGTTACAAGGATAAAACATGGGTCAGTGAAACCATGTTTCCAGTCTTGAGATCTTGTGAGTAAAGGCTGAGTACCAATTAAAAATAAGGGTCATCCACTACAGCTCATAGCTGTTGATGACCTTATGTTTGTCGAGCTTCTCAGCTATATCAGTTGTAGTTTTCCTTGGGGAATTTCATCTATGCACGGTGGAAGAGATACTTTTCTTTGTCTTTCCTGAACAAATGGCCACTTGAACTGGACCACTAACCCTTAGAGAGGAACTGGGATGGCAACTGCACTTTTGTCCCTCCTTCAGAACTGATCCATGGCTTCCTAAAGGGACCTTGATCCAGAGATAGATGACTCTGAAAACCTTCATTTGATTTCAGTGGAAAATCTGTGTGATTAATTTCTCTTTGGAGTCTGATCCTGGGGTATCTTTGCAAAGGGGGCGATGATTTCTTTCTAGGGGTGTTTTAAAGGCAGGGGTAACAGTGTAGCTCTGTGCAATGTCCATTTGCATGAATAAGTAAATATTTCTTCCTTAGTTCTTAGAATAATAACAATCAATACTGTCTGTCTGCACACATCGTTCTATTAAATAAATGCCTGTCTATCTGAGATAATGCATGGCATAATCAGACAGGCACGACAGAGCCAAATTTTAATTGACAGCTGATGCACTCCTCTTACCCAGCCATGTCTCTGAAATGCACAAAGATTAGCATGGTCTGTTTTAGAAAAGAACATTCGGTTAATAGGCTATTAATAAGCGTATTGATGCTGTTGCAGAAATCAACAAAACATCTATTTGGAAGTTCTCATTATAATAACTAGCCCAAGGAGAGGAAATTTAAGAACCAAAGCCTGAATTGTCAATAATTATCAGCCCAGTTAAACAAATAACTAATGAGTACAGAATGGAGAATGATAAACATAAGCTGGTGCTGGAGGGCTGGGGGAAGCATATGTTAAAAAAAAAAGTGGGGGGATAGGGAAAATACATTGTTATTCCCTTCTTTCTCCATATTGAACCCTATTACCAATGCAGTAGTTATTTTAAAGTGAGCAAATGAATTGTTTGCATTTTTAATATGTAATAATCTTATAAAAATATACAAAAAAGCTCTAGAAAGAAACTCTAGGGCTGGTTTTAAGTCCCCCCAGCTCAATTTTGGGATTGTATTGCCAAAATGTGGTGGTAAGGCCACTAATTTTTCAAAGCAGTTTCACTGTAAAATGGTGTAAGGGTTCAGAAGTATGACTCTAGAGATCCAGGCTGAATCTCCCATCAACTTGGAAACCCACTGGATGGCTTTGGGCCAGAAACATATCTACCTCACAGGGTTGTTGTGGGGAAAAATAGGAGGAAGGAGTCCATTAGAGTTGGGCGGCCAATAAATTTAAATAATTCTTCTTCTTCTTCTTCTTCTTCTTCTTCTTCTTCTTCTTCTTCTTCT